TCTCTCAACCACTTATTCTTTCATTCAATTTTCAGAAGAAAAAAAACATTACTTCTTCTTCTTTGTTCTATCATCATCTCAATCAATACTCTCAAATCATCATATTTCTCAACCAAAAAAAACTTGTTTCTCAATCTCTTCTATCTTTGCTTCTAGATCGTATCACAATAACAAAATACTTCGCGAATCAACAACGACTACTCTTCTCCGCTCATCTCTGTTTCTGACGGTTCATGTGAACTTGCCATGTTCTAACTGTGAAGATAACAACAATAATAACACATTCGTTATCTCGGTTCGCTACCAATCTCACGAATCTCTTACTCCCTCGTGACCTCTGCTAACGTTCTTCCTCACTCTCTCTTCACCATCAATTTTATTCTTTCCTCACCATTGTTACGACATACTCCCTCTATTTATTTACTCAAACCAAAACAAATAATCTCAGTTTCAGATTTGATTCTCAAACGAAATGGTTCAGTTTCATTTTTAAGCTCACTCATGTTTCAATTCTTTCTCACACAAAACTACAATAACAACAACATTTACAGAAAAAATTACGAAGGAAGAAACTTTTACCGATCAGAGTAGTTCCAACGACTTTTCAATGGAAGAAACTCTAATCGAAAATCAGAGATAATATTATGCTTCCTCAGGTACGTTTCACTTTATTCCGTTCCTTCTGATTCATTACCGTTCTTCTCGTTTCTGTTTTCAAATTTATGTTCTGTGTACTTGTGTTGTTGTTGTCTAGAAATTAATGTGCAAGTACACGATACAAATGCTAATCAAAGAGGCGATTCCTTGAGGTGACTCCTTCTTCTCCTTGCATGCTTCTCTGTCTTTTGGTTATGTTTTTGAGTTTCTGTTGTGTATAGTTATTGAAACTTTGGTGAAACAGTGGTGTGTTTTATTCTATTGTTGTTGTGCAGGTTGGAGTCGAGGGATTCAAAGGAATATGGAGTGATGTCAAATTGAATTTTGAGGGAGTAGTGTGATGTCAGGTTATGAGAAGATTATTTACAGAGAAATGATGAAGAGGTTTGTAACAGGTTGAATATGGAGTTTCTTATGGTTTCTTTGATGAAGTTGGTGTTTTTAGCTTGTATTTGGTTCAGTTGTATATAATCTTTTATGTGAATGATTGAGGGAGTATTAGTGGTAAAAGTTATAAGGTAAGATTGGAGAGGTTAGTAAGGTTGTGTGAATGAGGCAGAGAAATGAATTTTTGTTTTGGCATTTTAAGTTTTTGTAGGGAGTATGAGAAAGGTTTATTAGACAGAAGTTAGAGGCTTTTCTGTGTACCTTTGCTCTCCATGTTCTCCCCCCTCCTCCTATGATTTTCCTCCTTAATTATAGCCGATGAGAGGCCAATTTGGAGGGAGTTTGTTGTTTGAATTTTTGGATAAATTGTCAACTGTTTTTTGCTTTCTTGATGCAAGTTATATTTTGCTGAATTTGTGCAATTGTTGGACTGTTATGATGCAGATTTGCAGGCTGATGGAGCAATATTGCAGTAGTTTTTTACAGGGATAGGGACTGGTTTTACAGGGCAGTAGTGCAGGGCTAGATTTGGGTTGTTGTGGCAGGTTGGATATCAATATAATAACAAGGTTTTGGACAGCAGGCCATTTGTTTCTTTTCTGGTTTATGGTTACAACAAGTTTTGGCAGTATAAGGGATATGGTTTGACATAGGATGAGCAAAGTTTTGGGTGCTTTGGATAGCAGCTTTATGGAGGATAGCAACAAGTGATGTCAGCATCTTGGACAATAAGGTTTTGTTTGGTCATGGCTTGAAGATTAGGGATATAACATTAGGTTTAGGTTTAGCATTTTTTGTGGCCTTAGATGTAACAACCCATGTAATTGATCTTGTTCTTCTCACATTTTTAGCACAATTTTCCTCTTCAAAATTCATTTGAATAATGATGATGTAGCTTATTGGAATGTATATTGACAAAGGTTTATGGAAAGATTGTAGCATGAAGCTTTAGCATGTAACTTTTCTTTTGTTCATAAAATGTTCAAAGTTGTAGTTGTAATGATGAATGTACTTTAAATAATGCATCAAATAGAATTTTGCACTTGGAATTGAAATAGATCTTATGTCTTGAATAATTTTGACAACTTTGAAACATCATGCCTTGAAAATGGTCTTGGATAAGAGAAATGATGGGATTTGATGAATATTTGGATGAATTTTGAATGATGGATAATGATGAATTAAGTGGACTTGAGTGAAACTTGAACAAGTCTTGTAATCTCATGGATATTTAAAAGATTAATGACCTTTAATCACGATGAATACTTAATTCTTATAAATTGAATATCAAGAAATCCCCCTTCAAATTTGCATGCTTAGAACCTTGACAACTTTGAACCAATTCGAACTCAATTTAAATTCAATAATATATTTTTGAATGAATGGACATCATCTCTTGAATGAATTTTGATCTTTGAATTTGGGACTTGTAACCTTGAACTTTATTCAAATGGTGAATTCATGTTGACTTGTCATTGAAGGAAGAATGATGAATGAAACTTGAACTTCAAGAAAAAAACATATGAACGACCTTTGTAACTTGCATGCCAAGTAAGCTGTATGCATTATCTTCTAACTTGAATCCAATTCTCAATGAAAACTTTAACTTTGATGTTCAAACCACAAGACTTGTAATTGAAGTAACAAAGAATAAACATGCCTTGATCACCCTATGAGTTCACAACATCATCTTTTGCGCCATGTCTCAAATGCTTTGCAATTTAATTCACAAACCCTTGACTTGATGACTAATGATCTTAATTCACAGACAATGCCCCTGGGAGGAACCTCGAGTGAAAAAGAAGCTTGAAATAACAAAGGTATCCTTGAGAGAAAACCCTAATCATAATATTTAATTGATTATCAAGCTCAGATATGATGATGCACATTGGTGAAGAAAGATATGAGAAAAGAATTCCACACACAACCCTGGTCCTCTATAACCCTAATTCATTGACCTCAGTAGGTAAATAAACCCTAACCCTTGGCCTTGATGAATTTTGATGGAGAAAAGCCATGCAGTCAGATGAATAAGAGGTCTCCTGATAACCATACTTCAAACCTGATCCCATAGTCCACTGCTCAAGGAAGAACCAAAAAAATCAACTTTATTGGATAAATAAGCCTCAAACCAAAATGAAACCCTAATTGACACAACCTATGATTCTGAACCCATGCCTAAAAAAGGTAGGACAAATTTGGGGTATGACACAGACAACCAGGGAACGTTTAGAACGCCTCTCTGCCTGCTATCTTCCCCCTCATCGAAACCAACGACTACTTATAGACACGCCTGCCCATTTTGACCAAGTCTTGACAGTTACCTATTTTTGCAGACCCGCATATCTAGGCCCAAAAATAGGAACCAATGGACAAGCATCGAGGACAATATATAAACCCTCACACACGTGAGAGACATGTATCAAATATTCAAACCTTAAACCCTAATATCATGCTTGTATCTATTTGCTCCCATCCTTACTAGATCGTCAGAGTGTCTGGTAGGTATAACTCCTCTTTCTTCTCAACTTTCCAGCAAGCCAAATATCATACTTCAGCCCATTAGCAGGTTCAGATCAATATATATATATATATATATATATATATATATATATATATATATATATATATATATATATATATATATATATATATATATATATATATATATATATATATATATATATATATATATATATATGATAAATAATTTTATTTTAATTAATTGACTTAATTTTTTGTCTAAATAAAATTGTGCACCCACATATTGCATCAAATTATGGGGTTTCAAACCGCCTTAACATTGTCACTTGAAAATAAGAATTTTCATTTTCATTTTAATTTGAGGTCTTTTTTAATACAAGGCTTATTCAAAGTGAGTTTTTTTATCTCCTTTTCGCTCACTCAAATGAATGATGTCCTTAATGTCTATAATCAACATCGAAGAACCATGAATAATATTCCTCCGGTCAATAAGGTGAACTACAAGCCAAGATGAGAAATATACACGTGACTAGTATAAATTCCAATTACACACAATGAGGAAGTTTCCAATAGCTAGAATTGGCCCAATCCACTTCTATCCTAGGCACGACCCAAAAGCACTGGCCCATCATCCATGTTCGATCACGCATCTGGAAGCGCGACCAACGATGCCCGATACGCTCGCCTAACCTAGCCAGCACGTATCTCCTTGTCAGCCCGACACGAGTCGAGCAGACAACCAGGGAACGTCCAGAACGCCTCTCTGCCCGCTATCCGCCTCCTCCTCGGAACCAACGACTACTTACGGGCACGCCTGCCCGTTTTGACCAAATCCTGACAATTACTTATTTTTGCGAACCCGCATATCTAGGCCTAAAAATAGGAACCAATGGCCAAACGTCGAGGATAATATATAAATCCTCACACACGTGAGAGACATGTATTCAATATTCAAACCTTAAACCCCAATATTCAGTTTGTATCTCTTTTCTCCCATCCTTACTAGATCGCCGGAGTACCTTGAAGGTCTAACCCCTTTTCTCCTCAATTTTTTAACAAGTTAGATATCATCCTTTAGTCCATTAACAAGTTCTGATCAATCGGTAAGATCAATATATATATATATATATATATATATATATATATATATATATATATATATATATATATATATATATATATATATATATATATATATATATATATATATAAAAATGATAAATAATTTTATTTTTAATTAATTGACTTAAATTTTTGTCTAAATAAAATCATGCACCCACATATTGCATCAAATTATGGGATTTCAAACCACCTTAACATTGTCACTCGAAAACAAGAATTTTTATTTTCATTTTAATTTGAGTTTTTTTTCAATACAAGGCTTATTCAAAGTGAAATTTTTATCTCTTTTTCGCTCATTCAAATGAATGACGTCCCTAAAGTCTATAATCAACATCGAAGAACCATCAACAATGTTCCACCGATCAATAAGGTGAACTACAAGTCAAGATGAGAAATATACACGTGACTATTATAAATTCCAATTACACACAATGAAGAAGTTTTCAATGATAGTAATTGTATCCATAAAGACATCATGCACAACAACTACAATATTAATACGATTATGCTTTAACACCTATATGCTTTCGAATTGACCATACACATCCACTTAGTGAACACTCACATATCCACCTCTATCCCATAAAAATTTAGTCTTATGAAAACAATTGCGTTTTCATAACAATAAAAAATATTGAAAAATATTTTCTAATCAAATCCGTTGAAGAATGTTTTCTACTCAAATCCATTATATGTCTTTTAACCTTGAAATATATGTTGTTTTTACAAATTATCATAAGCTATTTATTATACAGATAAATAAACTTAAATAAATAAATTTAAATAATAATCATATGTTCATAACAAAGCAATCTCTCAATAGTTTTAATATTTTCAAACTTATTCCATGTTTAAAAATTTATATGCTACATAAATAAAATGAAATCATAGAATCCTTTACATATTAAAACACATGAAATTAGTATGAAAAATAATCAAAAACAACTTTAGGAAAAAATAAATAAATAATTTTTTTATTGATTTTGATTAAAGGTGTGTTCGTATTGTTTCCTTTCTTCCAACCCAACCCCCAAATTCGTTCCCTCTTCGTACTCTCACGGTAGCCTCTTTCCGTTCAATCGCCACCATCGTCAACTCTCATCGCCGCCGCACGACTCGTCCCCCTCTTCACCAAGGTTCAATCTCTTTCGAATTGCACCGATTGTTCAATATCCTAATTGAAATTGAAATAAACCGAAACAATAACTATAGGAATTTACGATTGGTTTCAGTTTCTTGTACAGTTAATTTATGTATTCTGAAATCAATTTACTTTTTCGATGATTTTTATTTTCTTCATCATTCACAGTGTAGTGGTTGTTGTTCTTGTTTGATGATTTGTGAAAGATGAGAAAAATGATTAGTGTTTTCAATAGAAATTTTTTATTAGGTTAAACCACTGAGAGAGATCTTTTTAATTACTGATGATTATTGTTTTTCTTTTAAACCGTTTTTGGTAAATGATAATGATGAAATTAGTTTGTAATGATTTTGATTGGCGTGGAATGTGTTTAGCTTGGAGTAGCATTGTTCTAGAGGATGACAATTTTGAGTGCTTGGAGATCTGTTGTCGAGGTTTTGTTAATGGTCGGTCCAACTCCAATATATGCGGTGTCGTCAAATTTGAAATCAGCTGGATGTTTCTTTATCTGTTCAATTGCTGGATGGTATTAAATGTGTTTGTCTTCGAGTCATTGATGAGTTTTGAATGTTTCCTAAAACCCTTTGATGATTTTTTTGTTACTTTTTTTTTGAGCAATGGACGGTTTGGTGTTTGGTGATTATGTTTTAAAAGTAATTGAGGGTTTATTGAATAATCGGGCACAGAATATTTCCTTGGAAGCCATAGTGACATTACAAAATTCTCGTTTCATTGATTAGCAAGCACAGTTAGCGTTTCTCACTCACACTAGTTGGACGGCAGGTTGTGATTCCCGATTAAGGCTCTCTGTCTTTTGATGTTTGTTTAATGTGTTTTGGAAATTAAAAATATTCATCATCACAAGTTTTCTGCAATTAGTAGATTGAGATTTGTTTATTGACCGCGTCAAATGTTTATTCCGGTTGAGTGTAAGGATACATGACTCGGAAACTGACTAATTTAATAACATACTTAAATTAATACACAAATAAGTAATCAATGCCGTTGTCCAATTACTACTGGAATTTTTTTTTAATCTTTTAGGTTTAAAGTCTGACATCAAATTATCTTATATTTGATCTCCTGATTTTTTTTTATTGATGTAGGTCCGTCTGTATTTCTGGAATTATTCTTAACAACATAAGCTGGCTTATCATTCCTAGTTGGGATTTCAAAGAAGATACCATAAATATTTTGTTAGACGGAAATAAATGGAGCTTAAAGCTTCGTCTCCAAAACCAGAGTCTGTTGCCCCATCTGATTGCGCTAGTGATCCCGAAGAGAAGGAAGTGAGCGATGACGATGACGATGATAGGAATCATAAGCATCGGAGGAAGGATGATCATTCTCAATCATTGGAGAGAGATGTTTTAGATCCTGCAATTAACAGACCATTCAGAAAGCGTAACAAAAATTTTGGGAACCGTCATCCATTTAGAGAAAATGAATCTATGGCCTTTGAAACACTGAAAACTTACAGCGATGCCTCTACAGATAAAGATTTTTATTCCAAGTTCGAAAGAAGGCGCCCTGGGATGACTTCAGTTCCTCGAGCACCTTTTGATATGAATCAAAGGTTACGGCCAAACCAATCATTTGCTGGAGATCCTGGCGCTGGTAGGGGAAGAGGCAGGGAATCTGGTTTTTGGAATCATCGTGAATCTAGGTTCAGCTCAATTGATGTTGCTTCACAAATGGTTCAGCAGGGATCCTTTCCTCCAGCCCTTTATACTGGACGTGGGTTACCAAATATATCAAATGCACAAAATGCGTCTTGGAATACATTTGGTTTAATTCCAGCCGTACCTAACAGTGGCTTAGACATGCTTCATCCAATGGGTTTACAAGGAGCGCTCAGACCACCTATTAATTCATCTTTAAATGTGAATATTCCCCGTCAACGATGCAGAGATTTTGAGGAACGTGGATTTTGCCTTAGAGGGGACATGTGCCCTATGGAACATGGTGTTAATCGAATTGTCATTGAAGATGTTCAGGTACCTTTTTACTTGAGATACTAGCAAATATCCATATTTTTGAAGTATAAAAATAATATTGGAAGAAAAACATTAATTGATAAAATAGGTCACACTTATAGGTATGCACGAATTACATGCAAAAGAGTTTTCAAATTGTAAAAATTGATAATTTTTGCTTCTGTCTTGAGTGAGTGAGGCTTTTTTTTTTTTACCTTCTTTCCTAATGCTTAGGCTTTGGTACCTATGTCTTATGTGGTGGTTAGGCATATTTGTTTTTGTTAAGTGGTTAAGCCTTGAGTTGTGGCTTTTGTTTAATGATTAAATGGTTTCCGTTTTGGCTTTGATATTGTTCTTGTTTATGTGAAGTGGTTAAGACTTGAGTTGTTACTTTTGCTTGGTGGTTATGTATTTTTTTGCTTGTTTTAAGCATTAAACGATTGCTCCCAAATTGAGGTTTTTTGATTGTGTTGGAGCTAGTGTCGTGGTGCACTAGAAACAGGTCAAAGGTTGAAGAGTTCTAGAACCATGAACCTCAGGCAATGACCTGATTATTTTGTTTTCTCTTTTAAAGTGTATATTTGCAACAAGCTTCAAGCTAAGTCGGCTTTCACTTAACGGGAAAGTGTTGGAATATGATAAAATATCTCAAAGCATCTTTATATTATACTCCTTAGAGTTTGTTTAGAGCATTTCTTAGGATTAGCTGTTCATACTGCCTACTTTGGGTAATAACTATCCTCATTGATGACCTTTTTAATTGTATGTTGAAAAGATTTTTCATTTTAATGATGTTCTTTAAAGTTTATAATAATGTTCTCTCCTGCAGTCTGTTTGTTGGTATTGGTCTCAGAAAAATTGATATTCTTTTTGCTTCACTCCCTCTTGAACTGTATGTTTGTATTTTTTTGTAATAGAATAGTGTAAATGCTGAATGTTAATGAACAAATGAGGAAATAAATCCAATGTTGTTGAGATGACAATGTTATTGATTAGTGGACACATAAGACAGGATAGAATCGAGACTAGAAGTTTTGGAAAGAAAGTTGTGGTAGCAACAATTGAAGAAAAGGTGATAGAGTTTAAGCTAATGTGGTTTGGTCATGCATGGAAAAGACTTGTAAAAGCCCTAGTAACGAGTGTGGATTGGCGAATGATAGCCAAATCACAAGAGTTAGAGAGAGATCAAGAAAACTTTAAAGTCAAATCTTTAAAATGGTTTTAAATTTTAATGGTCCATCATTAGAAGTTAATCATGTGACAGGGATTTATAAGTTGTTGGATATCTGATTCGACCTATATTGGGGAAACGCTTTGAATGTGCAATTTGATTTTTCGTATCACAACTTGCTTTTCATTAAGTTTCAAATGCTCAATGTTTATTTTTTGCATGGTAGTGATCTTAATTTGTATTGACTAATATTTACACTTTCCCATAATTTTTCACTGTATCAAAGTCATACATTGTCTGTTAAACTAGCTAATTAATTTGTTGTTCATAATTCAGAGTCTTTCACAGTTCAACCTTCCTGTTTCGCTTTCAAGTGCACACCTAATTGGAGCACCTGCTGGAGCTGGATCGCTAAATTCAGTAAATGCTTCAACTGCTTCAATGAACAGCAAATGTAAATCTGGAATAGTTTCCAAGTCCGTTGTCAGTGATGTTGGTTTGCCCATGGATGGTGAATATCCCGGTCCTGGTTGCACAAGCGGAGCTGATCTTTATGATCCAGATCAACCACTGTGGAATGATAGGGGTCTGGAATCTTCAAATGCACTCCTAAATATGCAGTCATCAAAGATTGATGATGCCGAGCCTATGTCTTGTGATGCTCCAAATAGTGTTTGTCCAGTCGAAGCTACCAGAACTTCAGTCAGTTTACAGGGTGCCAGTTCATCTGTCTGGGGCAGAATTGGTAGTTCAAAAACTAGATTTGGCGCGAAAGAAAAATCTAATCCTACAATGAGCTCTTTCCATTTTCTTGATAATCAATCAAAGGAAGATAATGATGAATTAATAGGTCCTCGCAGCACTTCCGGTCAAGGTAACCAAATCATAGCAGATGATGCCATCCCAAGAGCCTTGGAAGCATCTTTGAAGGCACAAGCTGATATGCGTCACATACGTAAACCATCACAGAAGGCACTGCGTACTCTATTTGTAAATGGGATACCTCATAAGATTAACAGTAGGGAGTCTCTTCTTGCTCATTTTCAGAAGTTTGGGGAAGTTACCGACATTCATATTCCAATAAACAGTGAACGAGCTTTTGTCCAATTCTCCAAGAGGGAAGAGGCTGAAGCTGCTTTGAAGGCACCTGATGCTGTAATGGGCAATCGTTTCATCAAGCTGTGGTGGGCTAATCGTGACTGTTTTCGTAGTGATAATTCTACTGCAAGTGGGAATGGTGCAACTGTAACTCCCCGCGGGCAACCTCCCACTTTCGTTCCATCTCATCCAGTGGCCACTGATAGGAGAACTGATGCTTCAAGGACTATGTTTGAAGGATCATCACCTTCGGATTTACCAAAGCCAGTCATTGCAGATGCACCCAAGGTTGCGCCTCCTTTACAGAGTAAGCTTGAAAGCTTAGAGCATCTAAGGGAACAAATGCGCAAGAAGCAGGAAATTCTGGACCAAAAGCGTAACGAGTTCAAGCGCCGGTTGATCAAATTTGCAAAACAAGTAAGACCTAATTGCTTATTTTTCCTTAAATTGTAGTTGTTGATACATTGGTTTAGAGATTTGTGATATTTTGGATATTCAGGCATTTTTCTTTTACTAAGTAATGTGATTAGTTTAGTGTCAGATAACAGGACCATGTGTATCAATTAGTGCATATGCTGCCTTTTCTAAGTCCCAGTAATAAAATGGTGTTCAGAGCTTATCCTCTACATAACTATATTAAAAACAAAATATAAGTCTGGCACAATCATCGCTCACCACCGCATTCTGTTATCATCTTGTTTCATGTATTAATGTCATTCCTTCTCATCATATATACTCTAATTTTTCACAGGCTACAGGACCCAAGGGTGAAGTTGTTACTGAGCAATCTGCCAAGAGACTCAAAACGAGCATGGCGTCTAATGTAGTCAAACTGGCTTCTCCTCAGTTGTCTGATGCTAATATTGGTATGTCATCTCCACATGCGGAGACAACAGTGGATAAGAATAAACAGTTGGTCAAGACTGCTTCTCAAAGTCCTAAAGCGAATACACCAATGAGACTACAGGAACCTACAGGCTTGAGGCAGTCAATTCAACCATTAGTGCTTATTAATAGATACAAATTGGATAACCGTCCCACTGCATTTAGAATCATCCCACCTTTGCCAGTTGGTCTAGCAAATGTAAGTCTTCTCTCTTTGCCTCACGTGTCTGTACATATTGTAGAGTTTTGCAATGGGTCCTGTTTGTTTTGCTACAATCATTTGACTAAAGATTTCCCTGTTAGGGTTGGACATGAACTGACATGTGAGAATAGTAAATGTTGAATTAAAATATGTCTATATGTATTGGATTATAAGATTTTAACATTTAAAATTTGAAGACTGAAGTACAGTAATCTGCGATTCTGCATTCTTGGTTGTCTTATCATAGTTTGACCCATTTTGAGATATTTATGAAAAATGAAATACCTATTTATTGTTTTAGTGTAGATACAAAGAAAGAAGAAACAATAGGGACTCCTTGAAGCAAAAAAATGATTGGCCTTCCTATTGATTGTTTCTATTTATGTCACCTTGTTTCAGATTTCTTAAATGTGTACAAATTATGTGTATTTTCTTCTCTCTGCTGTATTCATGCTCACATAAGATATCGTATTTAAAATTCCAGTAGTCACCCGAGTCAAGTTCCTATCTAATATACCATATGACTTGTATGGGGTAAGAGATCTGAAAATGTTAGTAAAAGGTTGGACCTCAACCCTGGATTGGTCGTCATTTAGTTAAAGTAAAAGGATTTGGGATAATTACTCTTGTAGGAAATTGGGAATTTTCAATCCAGGGGAAGGATTTGGGTAGAATAGTGTTGGAATTTCCGTCTTCATTGCTGTCCGCCCTTAGTCGCCTAAATTGCGGCTTGCCTTAATTGCAGCCTCCAAACACCTTCATTGTGTTGGGTTTGAAGGGGTGGATTTAGTTCCACAATGCTTAGAGATATGGTCTTACAAGCCGGTTTTGTAGGGATAAGTTAGGCCCAACCCAAATTCTAAGAAATAGTTGTTTGGACCTAAACAGAATCAACCACCACGGTTTTTGTGTTATGCACAACACTTATCATACTCTCAAGCTCTCCCCAGACCCAACATCTGCACTGTCATGTGCAGCACCATGTGACGCAATAGTTTGCCAGAAATGACGATAAGCTCTCTGTTACTTGCTGCAGCTGCCAACCCACGTTTCTTGTTGGTCCTTTCCTGATTTGTCCTTGGGTATCTATTGGGGGACCCAGGACCAGTCCACCACTTTCTTCAGTTTTATACCATGACACTCCTAAGCTGTTGTGGTTGTTATGAAGTTGATCATGAGTTAGCCTGGCATTTTATGAAAAATCTAAGGGCTACCAAGCTAGCTTGTCCTAAGTTATGATTGCACTCCACGAACCTATTTCGTTAATTGGTCTTCTCGTGTCAAACCTGAAAGTCCAAGTGCAATATTATAAGAGGAAATTTATCGGGGAGGCGCTTGGAAGAGCTAATTTGTGCTTATCTGTTGATATGAGCACTTGTGTGATTTTTATGGTTGATTGATTTTAGTACGGCGGGTATTTAAATAATATGGTAATTTTGTCTTAGATTTGTTGTTATGCCATTACCAAATGTGACACTGTCAATTTTAATCTTTTGCTTACAAAATTGTTGTCTTTTAGGTTGCTGCTTTGAAGGAACACTTCTTACCATATGGTGAACTTTCCGCTGTAGAGCTAGAAGATGTGATAGTCAATGACAGTAGCGAGCAAGAGGCACGTCTAAATTTCACTACTCGTGGGGCAGCTGAGCAGGCCTTTATAAAAGGTAAATGCTGGAAAGACCATAGCCTTAAATTTGCGTGGTTGGCACCTGCCAATTCTGGCAATGGCAATGCCACTGTTAGTAGAGAACGTTCTCTATCTGCTCCTCCCAGGGAGCCCTTGGATACAGAAGTCCAATCTGAAGAAAAGTTGGGAAACTCTGTAAACCATGAATTAATTGTGTCTGACGATGAGCATAAATATTCTGAAACTAAAAGTCCTCCGGGGCCTACGAAAAAGGAACAAGATGAAGATCTCCAGTGTACCACCAGTTGAGTTTCTTTGGCCAAACAATCACTCGAGGACAATGTCTGTTGAGAGGATCTGTTGATGGTCAGATTTGTACAGCGAGGTAAAATTTTAAATCTATTAAACTCTAACTTTCAGGGGCATTTTTTTATATCAATTTCAAAAAAATTATTATTCCATGTACCTTTGGTCAATGTTAAGACATGTAAAGTTTCTTTCTATTTGGCCATCTCTTGTATTTGGTGGTATTAGTCTAATGGTGTATCATGTTATATCTCAGATTTTGGATAGTTTTCTTGTAGGATAAAATTTTTGAATATCAAAATCATGTTAAAAGCCATTGAACAGTTACTTAACAAATATTTGGGAACCCCTTCCCGTTTTTGTTTTATAGCAACAGTAGGATAATATAATTGAAGCGGTTAGTTTCACTCCATATACTTGAAACATTCATTTTATATCTACATATTCTTATTGTTTCAGAAATTGTTTTACCATGGGAGATATTGATTAGGGAGTAGTTTATTTGAAATATGACAGTTAGCATGATGAACTCGAATGATAGGACCATTATGGGAAAGTTAACGAATAATCATTGATTTAATAGGAACTAAATGTAATTAACCAAGTACAAAAAGGTAAGAAACATATCAAACCTTAAGGGTGTGTTTGTTTCAAAGTTTAGAAATTACATTCCTATATAGGTAAAAAGTGAGAAAACTCATGTTTGTTACAAGGTTGAAAAAAATGTGGGTATAATGATTCTAAGGAACAAAATAACTTCTTATAACTTCTCTTATTCTCATGGAATTATTTTCATGTTAAAGGATTGGAAAGTAGATTTCCATGAATTTTATATAATTTTTTTAAATAAATTAATAAAAGTCACAATATTCTTGGGAATAGTAAAATTTTTGCCAAATAATTTTTTAGAAGAATATCTTGGAATAAATTTTCTACATTTATTTTCTTTGGATACTAATTCCAAGGAATAAATTTTAACACCTTGAAACAAACGCACCCTAACAAATGCATTTGTTCGGTAAATTGACGGTTATTTAGAACTTTACTGTGACTTTCCCATCTTTTAAGTTCGCCATCCTAACCATCACTTGTATGAAATATGTTTTTGGTCCCCAAATACTTTGGCTTTAATCATCTAGTGATTTGTTTTGTCTCATAAATTGTTTTGTTATTTGTTTGGGGTCTTTAGTTCTCTCTTTGTTGTATGTCAAAAGATCACAAGACATTTGAAAAATAGCGGTGAATAAAATAATTTTGTCGGATATGAAATGTATTTAACCCACAAAAATTGTTAATTTTCTACTTAAATAAAATATTAATTCAACTAAGGTACTTGTTCTCAATTTTTTTTAATAAAAAATTAAAATCTTTTTATCCCTATAAATATATGAACTTAAGAATTTTTTTTATAATTTTATCATAAATTCATTTTTTGTTTTATAATTTTATTATTTTTAAATTAGTTCATTTTAAATAAGAAAAAAGTTCTAAAGAACACTTAATATTATATTTTAGCGGTGAGACTCTAATGGAGCAAATTAAAGTAATATAATGGAAATAATTCAAATATGTCTAAACTCCCCTAAAATAGAATATGATCAATGCATTTGTCACCAATGCAAATTGTTTTAGCTTTTCAAAAATAATTTGATAGTACTATAAATTTTTATTAAAAAATTAAAAATTTAATGAAAATAAAGGTTTAAATGCATAATAGATTTAAATAGCTTTTTATAAACTATTATTTTAGATATCTTAACCTTTTTACATTTTATTTGAATATAGAAATTTAAAATAATTTTAATAAAAATTATTTTTCAGATGTTTTTTATTATAAATATGTAATTTTAATTATGTCAGTTACTATTGATAAGTATTTTTATTCACTAAATATTAAATTATTTTTTAATTTATAAAAAATAGTAATTTACTTTTATGAAAAAAAATTAATTTTTAAAAATACTTACCTTAATTATTTTATTTCACACATATTAAAAAATATATATAATTAATAAAAAGATAAACTAAGTTTTCTGGATTAGGCCTGTTTTTGGCCCAAGTCCATATAAGATCCAAACCAGCTGCGCTGTCTAAGACCAGCCGACCAGGTCAGTCTTCGACGAAGTCGGGCAATAATCCCCACTCTTTGAGAGGATGGTGCTTTGCCACACGAGGATAGATCCAGGAAGACGCAAGAAGGTGGGTCACCGGGCAAGAGGACCTCGAGAGCATCCTCATGGCTTCTCCTCGAGCAAGACTGTTCCTCTCGCACGACCTCAGGCTGGTAGGGATCGTGCCCGACGGACATAAGTATCTCACGAGCATCCTTCTCGTAGGATTGACTATCAACGCCTCCGAACATCGCGGAGTTCACTTGACTCTGAAAAATCCGCATCCATATTTTCCTGATCACGCGGAAGAATCCATCCAGGTAGGGGACCACATGCTGGTTCCCATTACTCACGTAGAACCTGACAGTCTCTATTTTGGGCCTACTTGCCCAGCCCAATGAGGAGATCTTGACCAGCGTTGGGAGTTATAAATACCCTCTCACTCGAGAGGGTCAAGTATTGATCACTTCTTACTCACTCTTACTTGCTTGTATCATTTTGAATCTCCCTTTGGCATCAAAGTGTCTTGTAGGTACCCCCACCTCACTCTCAACTTCTGCTTGACGTAAGTTGTGACGGTCCAATCTAGTCAGGTACGATCAGTGACGCTGTCTTTGGGAAACAAGCTTCCCCGTCTTTCACTTACATAAGACAAAAGTAACTCCAAATTCTTGATTGTCATGGCCGACCCAGTTGCAGAAAATAACCTAAACGCTCATCCCGCCGGCCTCAACAACAGCGTTGGCGACGACAACAACAATGCTGGCAACAACGCTGACAACAACAACGCCGACCACAAAATCAACATGCCCGACACTTCAAATAATTACAGAGACGGAATGACCGCCTCCCGATCGTCCCTGTCTCGATGACCCGGAGACGATCAACCTCCTCCCCAGAACTATCAGCCGAATGCGTTTTAGGAAGTCCCCATTTCGGTGGGCGCTGATGCCACGACCATGACACTGTTCGCGACTATTAATCAAACAAACTACTTTATCTTCTCACAAGGTAAGAGATTAAGGGTGCTCGAAGATTCTCGAAGAGCCCCCAGAAGACACAGGAGGCCTGATTCTCCTCCTCCCCGCCAGATAGAGGACCATCCCCAATCTCCCCCGCAGAGACGCAGACAGGATGCCTCTCGAAGCCCCCCTCCCTAACGAATTGGGCGACGCCTCGCGTTGGAGAGGAATCAAACTGTTGATACGGGGAGGCATGATCACGTCCCCCCCGCGCCAAGAGTGAAGACCCCATGGAAACAGAAACAGGGGAAATGAAGAACCCCGACCCCGACTGAGGGATCCTCCCTACGACCAGGGCTGCCATCACGGCCGCCATTACAACAGGTCACCTTCTCGATCTCCGGAGATAAGCGACGAAGACGACCCTGCGGTCCCCTATCCCAAGCTATTATGGAGGCACCAGTTCCCCCGGGGATGGAGAAACCTCCCCAGCTGAAGGAGTACGACGACATTGCCGATCCAGTTGACCATATCGACGGGTTCGAGACAATGCTGTATTATCATGGGGACCGATCAAATGCCGGTTGTTCCCCACGACCTTGAGAAAGACTATGATGAACTGGTATAAGAACCTCGCTCCGGGGTCAATCACCTCCTGGACAAACTTAAAAAACCAGTTCATCAGCTCATTCACTGCCTCACGTTGACACCCGAAGACTGAGGCTGCCCTCGAGGCCATCGTCCAAAGAAGCAACGAGACCCTCAGGGAATTTATTGATTGGTTCAACCGCGAGGCCATTCAGGTCCCCTGCACCGATCATGAAGAGATACCTACTCGAGAGGGGAATCCTTCAGGGCACAGAGTTCAGGAAGGCCGTTGCCATCGAACCACCCCGGACATTCGATGCTCTCCTCGAAAAGGCCAAGACCTATATGGACTATGAGAAGAGGGAAGCGACCAATAGAGCCCATGACCCAAGGAATCATGGACCAACCAACAATCTGCGACACCAGGACGCAGGCCCTCCTCGACTAACGGGCGAAAAGAGGAGGGATGACAAACCACAGGATCCCCGCGAGCAAAGGGGGGCCCGCAGGGCGGTTCACCGAATACACTCCGTTAACAGCTTCCCGCGAGCGCATCTTGGTAGAGTGTGCTAATACATACTTCAAGGACGGTGGAGTCAAACTTCCTCGCTCTGCTCCTGCAAAGCCAAGGGCTGACAGGAGCAAATACTGTTAGTACCACCGGAGTCACGGGCATCTGACTGAAGATTGCGTCCATCTCAAAGATGCCATTAAAACCCTCATCAAGGATGGCAGGCTCGAGCTATTTTGTTGCAACGACGCCCCTTGTCTGGAGGCCCGCGAAACAAGAGAGGTCGAGGAAGACACCCAACCATCAGATGAAACGGACCCCCATCCAAATAACCTTCTCCGTTACGAGGTTGGAGGATTTCTACGTCCCCGACACGCACGAAGAAGAACCTCTGTCCATGCACAGTCGGTGGGAAAGATTCCCCTCCGCCATGGTTATAAATGGTGGGGGGTTCAATGACATATCTATAAACTCTGCAAAGAGGAAGCTAGACGAGCTGGTCAACGCAACCCCGCCGCAAGCAGTAACATTCGAGAGGGTCAAGGGCAGATCGATGTCGATCACGTTCTACCTCGAAGAGTTTCTCGGAGGGGCCCCTAATGCAAGTATCCCTCTTCTGGTTATGGCAAGGATGGCTAATTTCAATGTTCACCGCGTCTTGGTCGACGGAGGGAGTTTCGTTGATGTTATGTACAACCATCTCTTCCGAACCCTACAACTCGACGACACCCACCTCTCCCTATACGTGGGGTTCTACCTGCAGGGTTTCAATGGCTCGACCTCTAAACCATGGGGGTACGTGGAACTCTTGGTCACCTTCGGCGAGGAAACCGCCACCAGGCAGGTCAAGGTGCAATTTATGGTCATCGAATG